AGCCAGAAGTGGCGCTGTGGCTCAAGTGGTAGAGCGCTAGCCTTGAGCTGAAGGACAGCACCTAGGCCCAGAGTTCAGGCCCCACGACCAGACCAAAAAAAAAAAAAAAGAAAAGAAGAACAGATACAGGATGGTAAAAAGGAACAACAACTCATATAAGCAAAATCAGAGGAAAATACTACTAACAATAAAATATTTACTTTTTGGCTGGAACTGTTTTTTGCAAGTTCCATAGTTTCAAGGTATGGTCCTCAGAGGCAGTAACCAGCACAGGTTCTATAGGATGAAAAGCTAATGCCCGTACTCCATCAAAATGGCTACGTAGTGTATACTTGGGATTCCATGTCTTTCGAAAAGCATCTTTATTGGCAGGCAGCTAGAAAGAAAACATGCACTATTTATTGGTAAAAATCAATAAATTCATAGGTATATGGAGTTTTTGTTTGTTTCTTTTTGCTGTGTTTAAAACATGTTATTTAAAACTTACTAAAATGTCCGACAGAAATTTAAAATACCTTAAAATAATTATGAGACTTTATATCATTTAATAAGCATTCAGAAGAATAATTTCAGAAGCTTTTCAAATACCCAGGTTAAATGAAGAATTCCTTAATCTGCCTTTACCTAATCATCATGCTAAACTCAAAAGTTCCTATTATATTATATATCAGATGAAAACCAAGTCACTACTATTGCTGCAATACTTTACATCAAAATGAAATACATATATAACCAAATAGCCATATACATGTGAAGTTTCCAAGGCAGCAAGTTAAGGTACTATCTAAAAGTCTAAAATAGAAACCCTTTAATAATATTTTCATATTTTTTCTAATTCTTAGACTTGATAGATTTAGTCTTTTTACCCTTATTTCTCCATCTGTAAAAATAAGCTATTAAGTCACTTCTAAAGCAGTCAAGTTTACTTGTACTTAGTTGCACATAAAACTTAAAAAGTTTAGAATATTTAGTATTCCAGTATTTATTAGACCCAGTCCATCAAGGCTGTTATCTAAAAAAAAACAAAACATGCTAACATTAAGTATAAAATATAAGGGGGTGGGGCTGGGAAGGTGGCTCAGTGGTAGAGCGCTTGCCTTGCATGCATTGAGGCCTTGGGTTCGATTCCTCAGCACCACATAAGGAAAATGAAAAGGCTGGAAGTGGCGCTGTGGGTCAAGTGGTAGAGTGCTAGCCTTGAGCTGAAGAGCTGAAGGACAGCACCCAGGCCGAGAGTTCAAGCTCCATGACTGACAAAAAAAAAAAAAAAACAACAACATATATATGTGTGTGTGGGGGGGGGAAGTTATAAAGAAAAAATTAACTCGCTGAAAAACTGCAATTCACTAACATCAAAGTACAGTTCACTCTCAATTGCATGTCAAATGTGTATAAATCATTGATTCAAGAGTAATTTTAAGCTGGGCATCAGTGGCTTACGCCTGTAATCCTAGCTACTCAGGAGGCTGAGATCTTAGGATCACGATTCAAAGCCAGCCCAGGCAGTAAAGTCTGTGAGACTTTTATTTTCAATAAACCAGCAGAAAATCAGAAGTAGCACTGTGGCTCAAGGGGTAGAGCCCGAGGGACACTACCCAGGCCAAGTTCAAGCCCCATGGCCAAAAAAAAAGAGTAGTTTTAGCTATTAGCACTTTTTCCCACCAATCCTATTCGGCTCTCTTGCCTCCAGATGGAGTTATTTAGGAAATGATGCAAGCTAACTTTAACATTATTCTTTAGAAAGAAAAAAAAATCAAGAGTATGCTTCTTATCAATATACATAAAAATTGGTTCAGATTATCTACTTATTTCTCGTTAATGCCCATATATGGCTGAATTTGAGTATATAACCAAGAGCTAACTATTCAAGATGTAATATGCTGACCATAAGGTAATCACCCAAATTCCTAACCCACCAAAATACCTAAGAAAAATTTAAGCACCAAAGTTATAAAAGAAAAACTTCATGTTATTTCTAATTAATACATTGACACACTTAAATATCTTTTCCATGCACCTTGACATAAATTGTTTTACTGATTCCAAAAAATAAGGAGCCTTCTATTAAATAATTACAAAATTAAAAATAAAACTGCACTTACATCATAACTATAGTCTGCATCATTTGTTACCGTCAAGTCTGCAAGGTCTCCAAGGCCCAGTACACTTAACAAAACATCATCAGAACCCATAATAAATGACTTGCCTCCTCCAGATGGAAACGTTATTGGTTCAGCTATAAAGAACAAAACCGCTTCTTAAATGCTGAAAAATCATACAGTACAAGACAATATTGTAGGGGAAATTTAAGCACTTAACAGTTACATAATTTAATAGTATAATGAATTTCTACCTTCCTTCTTCTACCAAAAAAAAAATCACTAAGAAGTAATAAACAAGTATGGTGAAAATGTAATGTACCCATCTTCCACAAATCAAATATGCACTAACTACACGTTTATAATCAAGGATGGGAGGAAGGGCATAAAAATTTTATTTAAATCTTTACCAATTCAGTAAATGTAACTATGGCTTACTTGTTAAATAAGAAATAAATTTTGTTTGATTAATGGAATCAAATATCAGATTTCAACTATTTATGGGAAACAAATCTCAACTAATTAACCTATTAGTAGCTCATACAATATTTTTTAGAAAGCTAATAAGGCTAACTTCTTTTGCTTTCTAAAGAATTACTAGGTATTCTAGTCTTGATAAAAATATAAGCATTCAATGTTAATGACTTCCAAACTGTCTGCCATATCAGCCAGTAATAACAATGGTCTAGGACAAGGCAGTTCTACCACTAGTAACATTATTCTTCTATATGGTTAATTCATGAGATCTTCAAATGCCTTTCAGCTTTAAAGATTTGACTATGATTTTCATTTTAATGACCTCTTCTATTTATATTGTGTCAATTAACTTATGTTAGCTATTACTATTCAACTGTACTATTTACCTTTAAAATATATTTCTGCTTAGAAATACATTTTTGTTCAGAACAGCTATTTTAATTTCAAACAAAATTCACAGAAATGCTTCATTTAACTTAAATTTGTATCATATGCATTATTATAACTTTGCATGTTGATATTAACAATTCCAATTATACTTTTCTCTACATTGTGATTAATCTCTTGTCATAGTTTGAATGACTCTATATCAGCATCTAAATTTTTACTCTAACACTTAGAGTGTAAGCAATAATTTTCAGTGTCATTTCAAACATGTTTTGAGAGCTAAATGTTAATGTTAAAGATGTCCAGATGAATATTCAACTCATAATAAAATATCTCAAAACACAATTAAAATTCATAAAACTTAAAGGAAACACTAAAAAAGTAGATTTTTTAATTGCTGTGAAAATTACATAAATTTATTACACTTCAGAAAACAAGGATAATAAAATTTAGACATCACAAAAACTATCAAAATATTTCTGGGAAGATACAATGCATATTACTATGGTAAAAGTAAAGATCACCTTTATTAGAGTATTTGTTATTTTATCTCATCAAAGTTGTAGAATTAGACTCAAAGTCACCTTTAGGATTTATCAGAAAGTAAAACTGATAACATAAGAGAAAAAATAGAAATGCTAAGGATTTACTTTTTCAATTATTATACTTACTGAATATGAACAATATGTAGCACTGATCTTTCCTATCAATACCAAGGTGTACAGTTACTAGTAATACCAAAAATAGTCAAGAACTATCAAATCAACAGCTTAAAATTATGTTTAAGAACAAATACATGAAGGTTATCAAGTAAAATTTACTATTTGTTGCTACTACAAAGAATATTTTTAAACTCATAATTTGACCCTAAGACAAATTAAAACAAAATGCCAAAATTCTTCCCACTCACAACTGTACAAACAATCACTAAAAAAACTGTAAAAGCTCAATGGAATAACTTTTACTTTAACATATTAAAATGTTATGTTGTAAATTATTTTCCCAGGACTATTTCTGATCAACCACTGAACAATTTAGGGATATGCTTAAAAAAAAAATGGCAGCCAGGCGCTGGTGGCTCACGCCTGTAATCCTAGCTACTCAGGAGGCTGAGATCTGAGGATCGCGGTTCAAAGCCCGCCCGGGCAGGAGAGACTATGAGACTCCTATCTCCAATAAACCACCAGAAAACTGGAAGTGGTGCTGTGGCTCAAGTGGTAGAGCGCTCGCTTTGAGCTGGAGAGCTGAGGGACAGCGCCCAGGCCCAGAGGTCAAGCCCCAGGACCGACCAAAAAAAAAAAAAAAAAGGCTTGGCAATACTAGCTAGTTTTCCTTGAGTTTTAGATTAATTTGCAAACAACAACAAAACCCTAGCATTTTATGTTTATTTCTAATTAATCATGTAGCTATATTTTTATTCTTTTCTCAAAAGATATCTATCTTTTATTATATAGCAACTATTCTGCTTACTTGGTTTTTATTTACATATATAAATACAAACATGCAAATACCTCTTAAGGTGTTATTTTTCCTTTCCACATCAACCATCATTGTGGCATATGGCAATGATAGTAAACATGCAATTTGTTTTCCCTCATTTTCCTGCCAAGTAAACTAATTGTGTATTCTACAAATTCATATTAATACTGATAGCAATTAACAATTCAAGACAAAGTAATAATTTGTTTTTAATTTAATGACACCAACTATAGATAGCACTTTTACTAAGTATTTACTAAAATAGCATCAAATAATTTAAGATATTATTGTTAGCATTTTCTTTCTTCTTTCCCTCCCTCATCTCTCTCTCTTTGTCTCTCTTTTTTTTTTTTTTTTTTGCCTGTCCCAGGCCTTGAACTCCAGGCCTGAGTGCTGTCCCTAAGCTCCTTTTCCTCAAGGCCTTATCACTCTTGAGCTACAGCATCACTTCCTACTTTTTCTGTGGTTAATGGGAAATAAGAGTTTCATGGACCTTCCTGAACAGGCTGGCTGTAAAGAGCCATCCTCAGATCTCAGCCTCCTGAGTAGCTAGGATTACAGGCATGAGCCACAGAAACCTGGCTAGTATTTTCTTTTATATAAAAATACTACAGTTTACTAGATCTTATATAAGGTATTTGTCATAATTCTGTAATTTTCCTTTTTCATGAACACTATGACTAAGAAAGTCTGTAAGTGACACATCAAACTCCTTTATCTTCATTTTAGGCGAGGTGAGAGGATAAGGAGTATAGATACTGGGGATCAAACCTAGGGCATTACATATACTAGACAGGCAGACAAGAACTCTATCATATTCAGGTATATCCCCAACCCTCCCCCAATTTTATCAAACCTGATAAACACAATAATAAGCTGGTTGCATTTATGCAAATGCAAATATGATAGATCTTAAGTTTTTAGTAACAATAGTTTGAAGGTTTGTGATATACAAGTACTTCTCCTAAAGATTAGACCTTCATTCTTTTTTCTTTGTGCCTTGGGGTTTAAACTCAGGGCACTGGGGGTGGGAAGGTGGCTCAGTGGTAGAGCGCTTGCCTTGCATGCCTGAGACCCTGGGTTCGATTCCTCAGTACCACATAAGCAAAAAGAAAAAAGCCAGAAGTGGCGCTGTGGCTCAAGTGGTAGAGCGCTAGCCTTGAGCATAAGAGCTGAGGGATAGCGCCCAGGCCCAGCCCAGAGTTCAGGCCCCAAGACTGGACCCAAAATAAATAAATAAATAAAATAAACTCAGGGCACTGTCTAAGCAATATGCTCAAAGTTAGTACCACTTGAGCCACTTCTCCACTTTCAGCTTTTTCGAGGATTATTTGGAGCAGAATCTAAAGAATTCCTGCCTGGGATGGCTTCAAACCATGACTCTGAAATCTCACCCTCCTGAGAAGCTAAGATTTCAGGTGTGTGCCATCAGAGCCCAGTAGATACTCAATTTTTATACCTTGAAAGATAACAAGAATATTTTAAGGCATAAAGCTAGAAGACTGCTACAGAAATTAATTATATTTGATATAAACTCAAACAGCTTAAGTTTTACTAAGATTTAAAAGAAATCTGTAACTTACATTATAAAAGAAATCTGTAACTTACATTTATTCTATAAAATACATACATAAACACACCTAAAGAGCTCTAAATTGTTTTTGTCAGTACTAGGGTTTGAATTCCAAGCATCACACTTTGATTTGCTACCCTGCTCAATTCTTGCTGTCTTTTTGCTGGTTAGTTTTGGAGACCTTTGAAGAGTTTTCTGCTGCAGGTAGCTTCATACTGTGGTTCTCCAGATCTCAGCCTCCTTATTAGCTAGGAATTCAGATGTGAGCTACCAGCAGCCAACTCTAAACTGGTGAGCTTGATTGTTATGTTTTTCCCTATCAAGTTGGTATGAGACATTTTTAAAGGCTTCATAACTTTTGTAAGGCTTTGTCTTATTAAACTAGAAAATCTGTATTTTAAAATGTAAATTATAAAAATTCTACAGCGTTACACTATATTATTTGATATAAAAAGCTCAATTGCTATGTGCATTTTAGAAAATACATTATCAAGTAAAATGAGTAAACGAAAATTAGATCCAGAAAAATCAGCAGATTATTTTACTTCTCATTGCTTCTGTTTTGGTTGTTTTCCCTTCAATTTCCTACAGATTAAAAAGGTTAGGGTAAAGGAAGTAATTAAGGTAAGGAAAAAGGCAAAATTTTCACTATCAGCTGTAAATATGTAACTACAGAAAACTTAAAGGAGAACAAGATGTTTTCAAAAAGTTTGGCTGTGGTGAACAAACCCTTTACACAGCAAAAAAACAGAAACATCAAATAAAATTAAATGTATGACATATCAGCCACATATTTATTAAAATATTTATATAAAAATTCAAATTTACTACTTAGAATTGTAACTAACAAGAACCGGAATTATAAACTAGTCAAGTATATCTAGCATCTTAAACATTTTTTTTCCCTTGGGCTGGGAAGGTGGCTCAGTGGTAGAGTGCTTGCCTTGCATGCCTGAGGCCCTGGGTTCGATTCCTCAGCACCACATAAGCAAAAAGAAAAAAGCCGGAAGTGGTGCCGTGGCTCAAGTGGTAGAGTGTTAGCCTTGAGCTGGAAAGCTGAGGGACAGCGTCCAGGCCCAGAGTTCAGGCCCCACGACCGGACCCCCCCCCCAAAAATTTTTTTTTCCTGAAACTGATTTCGAATAAGTGGTATTATCATTTTCTGTACATGTGGTTTAGCCAAATATTTGAAAATTCACTATGAACTCATGGACATTTGATACCAAGTAGAAGATATTAACATTCCTTTATCCTACAATGATTAAATTAGAGAACAGCTACACATTTTAGAATATATGTGTAGAGTTCCCAGTGCAATGCCTAACTCTTGGCTGTCTTCTAGCAAGTGGTAGTTTTTAACAGTTGCTAAAGTTAAGCCACGAGAACTCAATAGTCTTTCCTGTATTTAAAACTGATTTTTTTGTAAATTATTTCCTGTTTCTAGAACTGTACACTTTATGTTAAATTTAAGGAAGGTGAGCTGAAGTGACCTATAATAGAAACAGCTTCACCTAACATTAAAAACAAAAATATATACGAAGAGAAGCAAAATGTCCCAAAGTCCCTAAGACAATTATACAAAGAGCTTGCCCAACGCCTTCTCTGAAGATCATATATAATGATCTCCAGCATTTTATACAACATCAAATGTGCAATATTAAGATGTAATTTCATGTCTTCTGCAATATAAACAAACATGGTAGCTAAATTTTGTACCTTCCTCTGCTCTTGAACCTTCATGATCAGTCATTCTAGTAGAGGCTGACCTAGACTGATTAATGATTCCTGAAGGGATGTGGGGCAGCTCATCATCTCCCAGATCAGCTATCATGTCGCAGAGTTTTGTCCTGTTGACCCCTGTAAATTAATGTCAGCAGTAGAGGTTCACTTAATGGCTACTGCCTGACTTGCTAGCAGCCTTAGTAAAGCAATTACTAACAAAACAATCTATAAAGAATTCCAACTTATTAAAATATTTTCCATATCATCCCCCCAAACACATTAAGATTTTAAATATTTACTATTCTATAGTTATCTGTATATCTTAAAAGACATTTTAAACAAAGATGGGAAGAGTGACAGAAAAGAAGAATGGGAGAGAATGGAGAGAAAGAAACTTCTATTATTAAATGCAAGTTATGTAAGCTCACAGACACAGAAGTTACCATTATTTTAACAAAGGCAAATTTTGGTGCTTAAAGTTACTAGTTTTACTAGTGCAAAGAATAAAACATAAGCTTTTCCAACTTAATTCACTGTTTAAAAACATAAGCTTTTCCAACTTAATTCACTGTTTAAAAAAGTGAAAGAAACAAATACAAAGACATTTATAAGGGTGCAACAAACAATTAACTTTCCCTGGTATCTTTCTGGATATTTTCCTGTAAGTACAAATTTAATAAATCAACTCCAATTTTACATTTGTTAAAACTGTTCAAAGTGTTTTTGTGTCTTTCCAGATCTGCAAACACTAGCTGTCCCCTGAGTTCTCTCAATTTCTCATAATATGAAAAATCAATAGTCATAAAACCATAACTTTCAGCTACTCCCCGGATAACCAAGTCCAAATCATACAAAACTCAAAGGCTTCCACGGTACTGTGGGAATTCTTTGATCTGATAACTTCAGGAATGGCACACAAATTTATTTTGAACCATGTAATTTGAAAGAAAATTTTAGCCTTAAAACTATCCACTAACATAACATTAATGGATTATTAAACTACTATGGTTATTCTATCATGATTATTAAATTCAGTGGCTAAATATTAATTGTTCTACATACAGGAAATGATCCTTATCTATAGACCCATAATGAAATGGAAGGGCAATGAGAGGCTAAGACAGGTAGAATTTTATACATTAGTTTCACTTTATTATTAATTTCCTAGCTTCTTAGAAATGTTTATACAGCTTCTAAATATTTAACACTGAAGTCTGAATTTCCTAAAAACATAGTAGGGTAAATTGCTGTTACCTGAGCTGTTCCCTTGCCAATGAACTGACCATGAACAAATTCCTTAATTAAAAAAAAAAAAAATACTGGCCGGGCACTAGTGGCTCAAGCCTGTAATCTTAAGCTACTCAAGAGGCTGAGATCTGAGGATCATGGTTCAAAGCCAGCCCAGGCAGAAAAGTCTGCGAGACTCTTATCTCCAAACACACACACACACACACACACAGTTAAAGCCTCAGGAGGGACACACACACGCACGCATGCACACACGCACAGAGCTAACTGGATACCAACCATTTATTAAATTCAACAGGAAAATAAAGCATTACTTTCAAACAAATAACCTCTCATTTATAGTAACTTTTCTACTTGAACAATTATCACCATAGCCAGGCGCTGGTGGCTCACTCCTGTAATGCTAACTACTCAGGAGGCTGAGATCTGAGGATCATGGTTCAAAGCCAGCTGGGAAAGGAAGTCTGTGAGACTCTTATCTCCAATAAACCACCAGAAAACTGAAAGTGGCTCTGTTACTCAAGAGGTAGAGTGCTTGGGGAGGGCAAAGGGAGTAAGGGTAGAGAAGGGAAAAGCTCCAATACCATCAAAAAATAAAATTCTACAGGCAAATCTTAATCACACCACAGTTAAAAATTCCACTATTTGTAAAATACTGGGAGGGCGGAAAGCTGTTGTTTTTGTTTCTTTTTCTTATTTAAAGAATCATTCTGTAAAGCCTAGTGCTGGTGGCTCTCAGGAGGCCGATATCTGAGGATTGCAGGTCAAAGCCAGCCTAGGCAGAAAAGTACTGGCACAACACGCACACACAATCCACATACATACCAAAAACTCCTTTATTCAAATACTCACATTCTTTTTTTTGGGGGGGGGAGGGGGTTCAGTCATGGGGACTGAACTCTGGGCCTGGGCACTGTCCCTCAGCTCTTCAGCTCAAGGCTAGTGCTCTACCACTTGAGCCACAGCGCCACTTCCGGCTTTTTTCTTTTTGCTTATGTGGTGCTGAGGAATCAAACCCAGGGCCTCATGCATGCAAGGCAAGCGTTCTAACCACTAAGCCACCTTCCCAGCCCAAGACTCACATTCTTGTAGCAGGGCTTTTAGGTTTTGTTAAAGGTAAGCTCTACTTGCCATCTGTTGAATTTTAAGTATTACAACCATTAATTTTTCAAGTGAGACATGCCGATTTACATGTAACTTTTTGGGGGCCAGAGATATCCTGAAACCAAGAACCATATGCCTTAAGACATGATTTAGATTTTTTTCCTTTGGAAAGTCTCCAACTAAAAATTGAATGTATTGTAGAACAGGCCAATGACCAATAGTGGCAGAAGTAATATCAAACTATGTTTTGATGTGTTGGCTCAACTACTCAAGATGGCTGTATAGCCCTGTAATCCTAGCCATTCAAGAGGCTGAGATCTGAGGGTTGGTGTTGGTGTTCTGGAGTATCCATGGAGCCTTCAAATAAAAATTCAGATGGGCTTTGCAGAAACTCTTAGCCAACATTTTATGGCATACAAAAAACAAAAACAAAAAAACTGAGTAAACTACAATCAAATTGCAAATGAATTGGCTTAAAAGGAGACAAAATCCTCACCACTAGTGCATCAGATTTTTTTTTTTTTTAAACAAACCATAGTTCTGTGCTACTGGGTAATGTTAGGTTAGAAAGTGATTATCTGCAAAATGTTACAGATTCCGGGATCACTAACTAAAAGGACAGATCTTTAAGATTTGGCCTTTAGAGTGCTTTTGAAGTCCTATGTGTCAGCTCAAACTGACAGATTTTCTTTCTGGTGATTATCAAGCATTTATTCTTTTGACTTGATTACTTGCTCCTGTTCAAGTGAACTTATTACTGTAGCTGAAGTCATGTACTTGCCAATTAACTATTTTCTATTCCAAAAGAATCATTTTTCAAAATTATCATCATTCGCTCAGCAACCAAAATTGTCATTCTAAACACTTTGGGTCAAGTTTAAACTAAAATCTTGTACTAGATCTTGTAAATGGTTCAAAATCTGATTTTATTTGTTCTATCCAATCCTTTTTTTTTTTTTTTTTTGCCAGTACTGCAGCTTGAACTCAGGGTCTGGTCACTATCCCTGAGCTTCTTTTGCTCAAGGCTACACTCTATCACTTGAGCCACAGTGCCACATCAGTCTCATGCGGATTTTTCTGCCTGGGCTGGCTAGGAACCACAATCCTCAGATCAGCTTCCTGAATAGCTACATTACAGGCATGAGCGACCGGTGCCCGGCTAGAAGTTATTAAATATTGAAAATAATTTCACAAGAATTGCTATCTATCATAATAAAAAGATATATTTCAGATGTGAATAATCTTCCTAAACATGTGAAAGAAAAATAGGACATAAATATTAGAAACACTACTGTAATATAATTATATCTTTATTATTATCAATATTCACCAAGTAGCACAGTGCCAACTTTAATCCTAGCTTCTCAAAAGCTGTCAAAAGATGAAAAAAAGAGGGGCTGGGAAGGTAGCTCAGTGGTAGAGCGCTTGCCTTGCATGCATGTGGCCCTGGGTTCGATTCCCCAGCACCACATAAGCAAAAAGAAAAAAAGCCGGAAGTGGCGCTGTAGCTCAAGTGGTAGAGCACTAGCCTTGAGCTGAAGAGCTGAGGGACAGCGCCCAGGCCCAGAGTTCAGGCCCCACGACCGGACCCCCCCCCAAAAAAAAATGATGAAAAAAAGACTTCATAAATTGAAATCATAGCTTTGCTATACTTTGCTGAGCATCTTCCAATTGTCAACTTGTTTTGCTTTTTGGTGCTGGGACTTTTGAATCTAAAGCCTCACACAAGTCAGGCAAACACTCTACCACTGAGTTATATATGCTTAGTCTTTAAATTTTCTTTTTCTCTCTCTTTTTTTGGTCAGTCATGGGGCTTGAATTCTGGGCCTGAGCACTGTCCCTCAGCTCTTCAGCTAAAGGTGAGTGCTCTACCACTTGAGCCACAGAGTCACTTATGGTTTATTGGAGACAAGAGTCTCACAGATTTTCCTGCCCAGGCAGGCTTTGAACTGGGATCCTCAGATCTCAGCCTCCTGAGTAGCTAGGATTATAGGCGTGAGCCACTGGCACCCAGCTTCCCAAATTTTCTTTCTAAACTCATTTATTATTCTTATTTTATTTTGCTTTATGTTTTGGCAGTATTGGGGTGTGGACTTAGGACTATGCAATTTGTCCAGATGGTACTCTACCACTTTAGTCAGGACTCCAGCCGGTCGTGGAGATATAGTCTTGTGGACATTTTTGCCCAGGATAGCTTCAAACTACAATCCTCATGATCTCAGCCTTCTGAGTGGTTAAGATTACAGTTGTAAGCCATCAGCATCTGACTACTATCTACTTGATATTCTAAATATTTTTTTAAATGCAATAAAATATTTCAAATAAAAAATGTGAAATGTGATTAGCAGTAATGAGAAAGTTATAATGATATTCATGTAATAAAACAGTAAATATAATATTTTGAATAATCACTAAGTATAATTAAAAAGCAGTTCCTCCTTGCTCATGTAATGTATGATATTTTCACAATTTAAAAAAAGCAGTTTCTAATTACTGCTGGAATTTATAGTAGAAATACCCAAGAAAACTTCAAAACTATTATTCTAAAATACAACCTACCTACCTACTTCTTAACCATGACTTCCAATTATATGTTTCTAAATAAACTGCAGTACAATGAAAAGCACTGATTATGCTTACAGATGGTTACATTGTTTTTAAATTCACATACTCATGACATTTATCTTTGTATGCATTACATAATTTTAAGCAAAATAGTATTTTTTAATAAACTCAATAACCTGACTGTCATACCCACATACAAATACTGAGAGATTTACGGT